CAGGATTTGAACTTGAGCAGTCTGTTTCCAGAACTGGTATTCTTGAGACTATACTAAGTTGCTTTCATGCTGCCAAGGAGGATTTTTGCCAAATACTCATTCTCAAAATTATCCTCTATGAGATCAAAGTGAGACAAGCATAATACTTGGCATAATAACTCCATTGAGTTCAGAATCAGTCACAGAATCATTAAAATAGCAGCCTCTGCTCTTACACCTCAGCTGCTTAACTGTCCCTGAGGTTCCAAACGTCTACTCTCCAGCAGAAGTGATATTTCACAGGATGGTGTGTGTTTAGCTGAGCTTTTAAAGAAACTTCAGCTGGTTTATCCAAAGAGACAAAATAGCACTGAGCTTTTAAACAGAAAATATTAACACATTTCACTAGCATGAATATAACTGCTGTTCTGTTGTGTGACTAATGCATTCAACAAATGTCATTATTAATTAGCCATCTCAAAAGTGACAGAAAGACCTGGTGACAAAGGTAAGGATATAAATAAAAATTGTTATCTTTAATAAGTTAACTGGGCAAGTCCTCTGACGGAAAAGGCAACAAACCCAGAGCTTGGAACTTTGTTTTCTCCTCATTGTGTCTTTAGTACAACCTTCTGTGAAGACCAAAGATCAATTTCATGGTTCAAAATCTTGGAAACACCACTACCCCAAACATGTATGTGCTACTGAGCAGTACTATAGGGAAGCACCTCACTTTATCCAACATTATATTCTGGAAAGACAACATACAACCAAAACTGATTTGGAGATTATTTTGTATATATAGATTTATAATGAACATTATTCTATACAGATCTTCTAAGTAAATTACCATTCCACATCCCTTTTCCATGTTTCTACAGTTGTTTTATTTTCTTATTGATCTATAGGAAATCTTCGTCCATTGTGGATAGCTATTCTTTGTGTATATCAACAATTTTGTTATCAATGTGTTATACACCATCTATATTTCTCATAGTGTCTTTTCTTATAGAGACTTTTTAAGTTTTATGTAATGAAATCTGTTCTCTTCCTTTAGAGTTTCTCAGGTTTTTTTGTCTCATTTTGTGTAAGGATTCCAGTCTCCAAAATTATGTAAATAGCTTTTTTGTTTGCTTCCCATTATTTATCTGTCTTAGACAATACAGATCAGTGATGCTGTAGTAAAGAACTATCTGTAGATTTCAAGAGCTTGACACAATAAAATGTTTTGCTCATGTTATATGTTCAGGGCAGGTTAGGAGGTGATCTCTGGTTATCACAGGATGATGAAGTATTCCACAAATACTATTTCCCTTATCTCCATAAGGCTTATTATTATAATAACCAAAGCTGTAATCTGTTCCATTCTCAGCAACACCCATAATACAATTCTCCTTACCTTGTTTAATGATTTTTTAAATGTTTTTACTAATAGAACTTGTAATTTTATACATACAAATTTTTATTTAGCCTATTTTTCCTCTTTTACTACAACTGACACTAAAATGTTCTGGTCTCTAAAAGCACAGAATGGTCTGTGTGTGTGTGTGTGTGTGTGTGTGTGTGTGTGTGTGTGTGTGTGTGTTTCATTGGTACACTGGGAGTCTCTAGAACAGGGTGTGGCACAATAAATATTTTTAGAATTATTTAATGAACTCTCATAAATGCATAAGAGAAAAAGCTAGACAACCCTAATACAAAAAATGCCAAAAGTTTGAGCAGGAAATTTACAAAGAAGGAAATCCAAATGACTAAGAAGTTTAAAAAGATGCTTTCCTTCATTTTTAATCAAATTCTAACGTAAATCACAACAAGATAACTTTACACATACACAAGATTAAAGTTTAAGACTTTGGTAATCCAGATGATGGCAAGGGTGTAAAACAGCAAGGTTTCTCATATATTTCTGGGGGAGTATAAACTGGTCCAAGTACTTTGAAAATAGTTTGGCATAGCCTAGGAGAGTTGAATATTTGAATATATGTATATATCACTTTTAGGAATATAACAAAAAAATACACATATGCGTATCAGATAGTATTTTTAAAATGTTAATAGCAGAACGTTCATAAAACAGATTTACAAATGGAAGCAATCCAAATGTTCTTCAGTAGTTATTGGCTAAAAGATAATGACAAATTTATAAGGTGAACTATTATCTCTCAATGAAAAGTAACAAGTCATAGATACACACAGACATCAACAAAATTGAAACCTGCAAATATATTGTTGAGTGAAAGAAGTCACAGAAGAATCATACAATATGATTCCATATATATCATGTTCAAAAAGGGGCAGAACCAACAATATATTATTTACAGTTGAGATCATAGGTGGTACACTATTTTCTATAAAGTAAGGATATAAATGATAACCATCAAATTAGTTTAGTGGTTACTCTTAGTGGGGAGAAAATGAGATGTTATCAGGAGAGGAATTATAAGGTACGCAATGTTTGTTCTTAATTAGGGCCCTGGTTACATGAGTATTCACTTATAATTATTCTTAAAGTGTTCATGTATATTTCATACATTCTTGTTATATTAAAAGTTCTCATTAATTTTCCAGCATTTTGTTCCTATTACTCTGTTTTTCTCCTAGCATCCCATATTGCCAGATGCCAGGGTCAAAGGAGCTGTTTCCCAGCCCTTAAATTAATTACTTGCTGAATTCCTCACTTTTGGCTCTTGCTCCTATTTCCTGCTGCCTCTTATCTTTTGTTATGCCAGGATTTGATGAGTGAAAACTTTCTTTTTCATCTGTCACATCTCAAGCAGACACTGGGCCTCTATTTCTTCATCATATCTTTTTATTTTCTGTAAATTCCTTATTATTTGGTCATGTGGACAGGCATTTCCTCAATTTCCTAGTACTGCCATGTTACAACTTCCATTATTTCTTTTGGATTTTGAAGAAGAGAGGTAATGATTATTCTCAGATATCTTGATTCAGAAGCCTCCTATTAGAGGAATATTTTAAGATATTTTAGAAAATCTTTACTTTCATTCCAAAATAATCCTTAATAAACAATGATCCTCAATTTTAGATTTAGTTTTCTCTATTACCCCAAAATAATCCACTGGAAACTCTGTTTAGCAGTTAATGATATTTTAATGAGCCATGGAAATTTTACCTCTGAATATACATTATAATTATCTAGGAAAGTTTCAACAATACCAGTGGCCAGAGTTCAACCCACACCAATTAAATTGGGGTTTCTGTAGGGAGAGCCCTGGAATATCTATTTAAAAACAAAACAAAAGAAGAATTATTTAATGTGTGCTAGGATTAAAAATCACTATTCTAGTGGGTGGGATAAAAGCATAAATAAAAATTTATGCAACAAGATAATTATAAGATTGAGTGCCATGAGATTCATATTTAGAGTTTGCAGGAATGAATGCTAATACTTAATGCCAACCACAGGCATGCCAACACTTCAGTCACGAGTCATTGACCCATTTTTCCATCCTGTATTTCCAGGAGAGAACCAGTTTCTCCTGTTTTCATTCTTTTGGACATCTAAGGTTTCTCTGTTCTCATAAGGCTTTGGATATTTGAAGGGCATCTCTGCTATGTACATTAACTATTGGCTGAATATATTTTCCCCACATTTTTACTCTAAGATTTATTTTTTGGAGATTAGCTATTACTCTTATTTGGGCAAAATTGTTATATCTTAGCTCTGGCTTACACATGAAAATTTCTCCATTCTGAAATTTACAAATAGTTAATGCTTCTGGAATCCCATTTGAGTGGGTTTTTCTTGAAACTCCTAATACAGAAATGAAAGCAGACTGAATTATTCTTACAGACTACTAATGGACATTTCAGCTTTTCACCAACTCCCTGTGTTCTTTCGTCCCCTTTTACTCCCAGCTTCTACCATAAGTCTTAATGCCCTTCCCAGAGAGGAACTAGGATTTGCCTTATTAAATTGTAGTCACCCTTTAAACCCAGCTCATAACCCATCTCTTCTGGTTCTTAACTGATGCTTTGAGCTGAGATCCCTAGACCCATGCTTAGTTCCACCCTTGCCCACTGAGTTATCATTCAACTTGATTCTTCTGGTTTGGCTTTCTACATTGAAGAGTAACTATTTCCCAGATTCAACCATCAAACTTTTTTCTCTACTTCTTTCACTTCTTTTCTTTTCTTTTCTTTTCTTTTCTTTTTTCTTTCCTTTCCTTTCCTTTCCTTTCCTTTCCTTTCCTTTCCTTTCCTTTTCCCTTCCCTTCCTTTCCTTTCCTTTTCCCTTCCCTTCCTTTCCTTTCCTTTTCCCTTCCCTTCCCTTCCCTTCCCTTTCCCTCTTTCTTTCTTTCTTTCTTTCTTTCTTTCTTTCTTTCTTTCTTTCTTTCTTTCTTTCTTTCTTTCTTTCTTTCTGTCTTTTGAGAGAGAGAGAACACATGTAAGTAGGGGAGAGGGGCAGAAGGAAAGAGAAAGAATTTCAGCCCGTTTCCATACTCAACACAGAACTCGACATGGGGCTCAGTCCCATGACCCTGGGATCATGACCTGAGCCTAAGTCAAGGCTCAGCTGCTCAACCAACTGAGCCACTGAGGCACCCCTTTTTCTCTACCTTTTAGGATTTCCATAACCAGCTCGGGGCCTCTAGGTTCCAGTGTGTAACCTTGGCTGGCCGTAGCAATGCTCTAACAAGACCATCTCTGGCCTACCTCAAGGGATACATCCTTCTGTTCTTTGAGAAAGGAGATTTGCTGCATGGAAGCCCCAGGAATGTCTCGCTCAAGCCTAGAAATACTTTTACCAGCCATTTACCCATTATTCTCCATTCTTTTTTTCCCAAGTATTTTGAGTATAGTTGATACACATGTTACATTAGTTTCATGTGTACAATGTGGGGATTTAACATCTTTATACATTACCCTCTGCTCACCACAATTATAGCTACCATGTGCCACTGTGCAATGTTATTACAATACCAATGATTGTATTCCCTATACTGTGCCTTTATTTCTGTGATGTACTCATTCCATAACTGGAAGCCTGTATCTCCCACAAAAATAGGGAACACTCCATGAATTTGCGTGCCATTCTTCCACAGGAGCCATGCTAATCTTCTCTGTATTGATTCTATTTTAGTATATGTGCTGCCAAAGAGAACACCGATACCCCCATTCTTAAAGAATGAACACCTTTCATATACCTCTTGTCTTTATCATATTTGCCTGTTTTATGGTCACCTCACATGTAAATGTTTAGTAAACACATACCAAATGTATGACTGAGTGAGCGAATGAATGAATTGGGATAAGTGTCAATCCTAGTTGCCTCCACATAAATATGCTTGGGAATACCAAGATAACAATGGCATAATCTTTTCCCTGGAGGAGTCACAGTAGAGTATTAAAAATAGAAAAGGGACACCTAGGTGGCTCAATTGATTAAGCATCTGACTTCAGCTCAGGTCATGATCTTGCAGTTCATGGGTTCAAACCCCGGGTCAGGCTCTGTACTGACAGTTCAGAGCCTGGAGCCTGCTTTGGATTCTATGTCTCCCTCTCTCTCTGCCCCTCCCCTGCTCACACTCTGTCTCTCCCTCTCTCTTTCAAAAATAAGTAAACATTAAAACATTTTTTAAATAGAAAATATATGAACCCTGATATCCCAGGCTAGGCCTCACCTACCTGTGGCTACAATATAAAATCATAACTCTTCTTCATATGCAAATTATGATGACACAAGATAACTTTTCTTTTGGATGCCCACTCTCTCCTCCGCCGCCTCCTTCTGTTCTTCCTCCATATGTAGCTGTCCTCTGCTAGTGACAGCTACTTCCCTTCTTCACCTTTCTCTACTATAAGAAGAGGGAACACCACTCAGGGACCAGAACACTGTTCTCTGCATCACTTTTCCTACAGATGAGTATAGCACTTCTCTAATTTTCTGTATTACTGAGACCAAATGGTAACCATTAATAACATTTTACTGAATAGTCAGAGGTAATGGAAGGGCAGTAAACAACACTTAAAATAACTATTATACAAGTACAGAGCTATCCCAGAATCCTTTCTAGGCTAGTTTGCTGTCTTTCTAGTATGTTTCTGCAAGGCTTAACCCCATATGATGTGCTCTAGGATTCTCTTTGGTCAAGAAGCTAGGTCATATTAAACTCACACCTAAGGCTAAGGCTACATCTTCATTTCTTGACCCAAGGCTTTTTTTTTTTTAATGATTATATATTTATTTTGAGAGAGAATGTGCACATGTGGGGACCAGCAGGGGGTGGAGGAGAGAGAGAGAGAGAGAGGGAGAAAGAGAGAGAGAAGGAATATCCCAAGCAGGCTCTATGCTGTCAGTGCAGAGCCCAATGCAGCGCTCAATCTCATGAACCATGGGATCATGACCTGAGGTAAAATTAAGAACCAAATGCTTAACTGACTGAGCCACCTAGCACCTCAGCCCAAGACTGACTTTTTTCAAAAATAATATGTTCCTCCATTCAACAAATACACATTTATACCTACTTCTAACAAGTACCCGACACTGAGTTGAACAGATGTAAAAGGGTCATCAAATAAATCCTAGCCAAGTGGAAGAGCAAAGATAAAGCCCTTATACACTGTCAGCCAGAGGGTTTTTGATGAAAGTGAGACTATTCCTCTCTTTTGGTACTTATAGAGGATATTGATACTAAGGTTAGGTATGAGGGGGAAAATGGGACAAGAAACAGGAAAGTGAGGTGGGGCAAGGCTGGAATTAGTTAATAGTTCTCATGAGTAGGTGACCTGAGTGAGAAAGTTGGGGAAAGTACACTCTGTTGGTGCTAGTTTAAGAAGGAGGAATGAGTACTTAAGCAAGTCCAGGGAAGTATATTCTGAGACTTTGGGTTTAGTGTGCATGTGTGCACAGACAGACACTGCACTTTGGGCTTTGGGCTTACAACTTCTGATACAGTGTTGTAAAAAAGATCTTAACACTTTACACACATTAACTCTGTGTTCTCTTGACCTTGCATTCTATTGGCGATTAACAGTAGGAATTTCAGTATTCAGCCAACGCCTGGGATCCTGAAAAAAAATTCTAAGTACTGTAGCATTGGTGCATTCCTCAAAGTCTGTATTACTTTGGTCACATCAACATACAGAGGAAGTGACAGTGCTGTAACAGATGTTTTTAGAGGGCTATTGGAATTTAGACAAGAGAGACTAAATCTTCCTGGAGAAGTCAAGAAAGGATGTAGAGGAGCTATAACAGTTGACTTTGGTCTTGAAAGATTGAGAAGACATTCCCAGGGCAAGAAAGAACAGAAAGGTTATTTAAGAAGAGAAAAATGACATGATCAGATCTGTTTTAAAAAGACAGTCTCAGGGATGATTTGGAAAAGAAAGTGACAGGATGTGGGATGATAAATGAAACAACTATTGGATCCATGCAAGAAAGAAGAAATAGGGGTTGAAGGAAAGCATTAGCGACGGAGATAGAGAGAAGCAAACATATTGGAGTGACATTTCAGAGATAGACTTGACAGCTTCTAGTTTCAGAGGGGTCTAGGAAAGAGGAAAGAACCAAAGATGGCTCTGAAATGTATTGGGGGATAAAAGTTGAGAAGAAAAGCTGATTTGGATATGTCAGGAGAAAGTTCTGTTTTTTAAAAAATGTCAAGGTACTTGTGGGATCCGTAGATGGAGTCAGTGGGCATATATAGCTGGGATCATGGAAGAAATATCAAGGTTAAAGGTAAAGATTTTGGAGTCACTGACATAGAGATAGTTGATGCCACATCAGAATATGATATTGCATAAGAATAACTTACTCAAAGGGTAAGAAAAGTAAAGTTCAACTACAGAAGAAAATTGAAGTGCATAAATAACAAAAAGCAGTGGCAGTGAGGAAGAGAGCCTCTGAACCAAAATTTGTCACATGGTTATTTCATCTCCAGTGGGTTAATTCAGAGGAGTTTTGAAGATTGAATCAGAATGTATCAGTTACTTCCGACTCTTGCTAAAAGTTGGATTATTAGGCCCTCTGTGTTCTTAATATAGAATGTATATGTGTTGTCAATTAGCAACAGCCCATCACCATATAATGGCTCTTAATAGCCCTGCATTGATGTTTTCCATCTGCCTCATGAGGCTGTCTTGTTTTTAAGAGGTAATTTTAGTATACAAATGATTGCCAGTTAACAACTGACCTGAATGTCACACCTACATTTAACACATATTATAGAAAGAAAACAAAAACTTCAAAAATATGTGGAAAGATGCAGTGGGATCTGTCAATATTACAGTGAATGCAAGTGTGTTATTGAAGTCTGTGACAATTAACACATCCTTATTTCATGGCAAATTACCAATTCCTATCAGAGAAGATCATGTGTGCTATTCAATTAATACAAAATGAAAGCAGAGCTATAGGAAATCAATTTATGCATTGATTATCATGCACTGATAGAGAATTCCAGTGTCCATAGGAAATCTGTACACAAGGACATCTTTATGAATGACTGTAATACTCTTACAAACAGTTTTCCTTTTTCAGTATTTAAATCTTTCCAGAGAAGTAACATGGTATAATAGTAAAAAAAGCAAAATGAATAAGTAAGTTTTAGTGTTTGACTCAGAAGATCTGGGATCAAATGAAACTTAGGCACTTTGATGTCTGCTTCCCACCAAGAGGACTGCAAATCTCTCACAGGTGCGCTACCACATTTTGATGCATATTAAAATTAATCTTTCCCAATGGTGTACACATGCTCACATTGTGATCTTGCAGATGAAGTAGTTAGCTAAATGGTGTGTGCAATGCTAGTGCAGACGGGGTCTAACTTAAAGAAGAGAAGAGATGGAAGAGAATATCTAGCCAACACCGAAAATGTTGTGAATGATCTTACCTCAGTCAGATTGTAATTAGGTTTGTATTCCACCTGGATAAGACCTCTTTCTGCTTTAGCTGGAGTATGGTGGATAAATGCTGAACATGGAGTCAGATTTGGGTTTTGGGCCTATTTTTGTCATTTACTAATTCTGTGACCTTGAGAAACAATTTAACTGTTCTTAGCACACTTTCTTTCCATATGCAGTATGGAGAGGGGTACAGATTAAATAAATCTTCCTGGGGAAAATTTGCAGTAAGAAAGCACTCTGAAATGGAAACATGCTCAATCAGTGTGCTCTTGTCATTATAGATCCACACTCAGAGACCTCCAATATTTCTTTAGAGTAATCCACATGATAATAATAGCAACAACAATTAACACAAACATGGTGGCTAACTTGTGTTTGGTATCATTGCAAATGATTTCCATATATTAACTAAGATCTAATTATTATAACAACCCTATGATCTGCATACTCTTATTTTCTCCACTTTCCAGACTGATTATTTTGGAACAAGATAAGAACACCAAAAATCCGCTGCTGAATGTTGTACTCTTGACCCTACTGCCTGTACTTTTTGTAGATTTACTACAAAAAAATCACTAAAAGGAAAATGGCAAAAGGAAATCTAACCATAGGCAAATGCTTCAGTAAGAAATGATTGAGGTTAGCTCCATACTGACTCAAAAGTGGAGGAAGAACTACCATGTATTAAGTGAACACGAACTGCCAGACTCTGTGAGAGGCTCTTCACACATACCATGCAATTTAGACTTCAACAAGAAGATGAAGTATTTTACAGATCAAGAAAATGGGAATTTGAGAGATTAAATTTAAGAATTTGTTTACTACTGGGGAGTGAAGATAGAAATATCTCAAAAGACAAAAGCAACCCTACTCTAGTTCACATTCTCCTATTTATTCTCTATTTAACAAATATTTACCAAACTTGGGGAAGGGGGGCTTACACTGAACTAGGCATGGTGACCATAACTCATGACAGCATAGACTGAATTTAAGGATGATTGGGAGACACAGAGCAATAAAAAGTCCATACTGTCCTGCCATGTGGATAGTCAGAGTGCTGGAAAACATCTAGAAGGGGGAATTTATCCAGGTTTGGTAATGGAGAAATTTCTGGGAGATATATAATGGCTAATTCAGAGAGAAAGGCACTGGCAACATGAGATCAAAAGTGTCTGCCATTTTTTTTCCAATGAGAATTTATTTTGAGTTTGCTGACACCTTATGACTATTGGCAGGGAGGAGATAGAAATTCCCAACATG